ACAGAGCAGCACGAAGCGAGATCAGGGCCATCTCGTTCTTGCACTTGCAATCTCGCTTAAGGGATCGTAATTCATTCTGCGAAATAACCGGATTGCCGGTTGTCCAATTCGCATTATCGGCTTTGTGGCGTTTCTCTAATAACATATTGATGCCCATGGCAGTCTAAGTTTTATGCACACGACCAGAACAGTGCAGGTTATGAAACGTACGGAATATCAGTACAAAATCTCGTAGCGATACTTTGAAGCGTTCTATGTATACGTGAAGCATGCGATAGATTATAAGTAGACAATACAATGCGACAGGAAATTCTCTACGGGATACTAGATACAATGCACAATGCCTGCTGTTACGATGACAATTGTCCCACGGTCAACCTCGATGATACAATGTCCCATCCAACCCAGACAAATGTAATCGGGTCCCAAGCACAGGCGACAGAGAAAGAGCATGCCGCGCCGAAAAGCCAGCACACCCTACGACACACGCATCCTTCAACGTGTCGACCCCACAGTCCGCGCGTGAAGCATCGTCCGTATATTGAACGCGGTCACGCAGCGCCTCCACTATCGCGTCACCGCTCAACCTTTGGCAGTTCCACAGCTCCAAGCTCGTCAACTTGGGCATCCGTACTCGCTTCATGCCACCATCCGGCATCGGTATCGCAGCGTGAGGGACGTCCATGCCTGCTGCCGAGCCTCCTATCTCGGTAGGAGCAAGCAGACTGATCGCCTTGTCCGACATATCAGACGCGACAATAAAGAATTTCTCCAACGTCTCCAACCGGTCAAAGCACCATTTGAAGTCCTTCGTTCTCATGTCCGCATAATCCATATGCAATATCCGTAACGGGGGATTACTCCGACGGATGAGCGAGCGCAGGCCCATGCCCGTCGCGTGGTCGCTCCATGGCGACTGCGAGAAGTCGTGCGCCTCGTCCTCGCTATCGCCCTCCTCGGTGAGCCCGTGGTACGGATCGTTCTGCATCTCGAAGTCGATGTTCGTGTGCTTGATGTAGAGTTCCTCGAGCGCAGGCGCGTGGATATGTGAAAGAAGCACGCGCACAGCACAGGTGCTCCGCAAAACGAGCACGCGCAGCTGCAACAGGTTAACGATCGGCGGCTTGAACGTGTCGGACTCGGAGAAACCATCGGGCGGGAAGCCTTTAAAGTTGAGCTCTTGCAATGCGGGGAAGGCGGAAATGAACTGCAGGATGCGTGTAGGATCGGTGCAGACATCGAGGGACTCCTTGATGGTGAGAGAGGTGAAGGAGAGCGGCGCGATGTGCTGACGAAGGGGTAGATCGAGCAGAGACATGTGCATCTCGAGGTCCGGCAAGCTGTCGATGACGAATATGTTTGGCGATGGAGGCGAACTTTCGAGCAGATCATCGTGCACGCCTTTGATCTTGACCGTCAGATGTTTGACAGACATCTTACAGGCATCCGGAAGGAGCAGTACGCTTTCTTCGTGCTGGGCTATTCTGATGGTGCACCTCTGCCACCGAGAGATGGCGGGCAAGAGCGGCGACATCAGTGGTAGCAGCAAGTCCGCCGACGGGAGTCCAACGTGGATGTGGATTGGCAGGGCCGCTGATAGGTCCAACCACCGCGAGACCTGGGCATGGGATGTCGCAACCTTGCGCCTGTCACTCAGAAAGATGTGCTGCCACACCGATGGAGATGTATGGGCGACATCATGCCAATACCGACAAACGCTGGCTAGGGTAAGCGGCACGAGGTCGTCGTCGAGGCCCTGGACGCAATACTGGAAAATTTCGATGAGCAGCTCTGGAGGGAGAGCATTGACGGTGATAGTAGAGTCGGATGAACAATCATAGGAGGGTGCATAGAGCAGCATATCGACGCAAGGGCGGACAGCCTGGTGGTATTTGGGAGTCAGGAGAACTTTACAATGAGCCACAATGAGGTAAGCGCTGGACATATGCGTGGGGCGTGGGAACTTATGAGCGCGCCCAGACTCCCGCTCAATCGCCACCCTTGCTTAACCGATCCATGTCGCACAGCTTGAGCACCGCCATAAGGATGACCAGTGCTAGTTAACGGAAAAGATTTTGTTCGTAAAACTGCCAAGGCCAAGTATGAGGCTGGAGGGGAGGAAAGACGCTAATGGGGAGAGCAAATCATTGCAAAGCCCGCAAACAACAGCAACTGCTGACTAAGCACAGAACTGCACAGATCCGGATGTCTGGCTTCAAACTCAATTTACACCGTCCACGCCAGTCTACCCGCCGGCAACGTCGCGCTCGCCACTCCCCTCCTCGCTTTCCAAGGCAGCTTATTCCCTCTCTACAAAATGCCGGGCGTACGAGACATCAGGTACGCGCCAACTGCGCGGAGGTTGGGCCTGGGAAGCGAAATCTGACCTCGGACTTATGCACACAGCGCGGAGGCCTTTATTGCAGCATATGCATCCCACCTCAAGCGATCAGGCAAGCTCGAGGTGCCCACCTGGGTCGACATCGTGAAAACCGGCTCATTCAAAGAGCTCGCACCATATGACCCCGACTGGTACTACATCCGCGCAGGTCCGTACCCACCCCGCATCCCGCTTTCTATTTCGGCCCTTGTACCTATCTAACGTGTGCATTGCAGCTGCGGTCGCGCGACACATCTACCTCCGCAAAGACGTCGGCATCGGCGCGCTCACAAAGCTGCACGGAGGCCGCAACCGGCGGGGCAACCGTCCCTCGCACCACGCCAACTGCTCCGCGTCCGTGCAGCGCAAGGTCTGCCAATCGCTCGAGAAAATCGGCGTGCTCGAGAAGTCCGACAACGGTGGCCGCCGGATAAGCCAGGACGGCCAGCGGGATCTCGACCGGATCGCGACGGCGGTAGTTGAGGCGGCACGGGAGGAGGAGGAGGAAGAGGGAGAAGGAGAGCAGGAGCAGGAGGAAGAAGAGGAGTAGACGTGTCGCTCGCTAGCATCGCATTCCTGCGCGAGGTTGGGCGGTCCCCTCTTGTTCTGGCGACTGGCGTGTGTCTCTCTCATCATGTTCTCTGTTCTCTTACTGGTATGACATTTGTGCATGACCAAAATGCAGCCTGCGCATTTGACAGCCATATATTGCTGCTGTTTGTCGCTGCGCTCTTCCCATTTTTCACACAAGTCGCGAGGTCGCGGGCACTCTCTTTGTCAAAGGTCAAGTACCATCGCTGGCTCCCACTATCGATGCAGAGCTCGCTCCTCATACAAGTTCACGCTGTTCAAGTGGTTTGGTCATTTCTCCTATTGACAATCTCCACTCTACAAGACCTCTATGATCTATGCGTACAGCGCCAAGCACCAGCTGACACGGTACACACAGCGGAAGAACCGTTTTGAACTCGGATGATTAGTCCCACTCCTCCGCGCGCGTATCCTCCCAGCGAGAACGTGCACAGACGACCTATCAGTGCCAACGAGAGCGACAACGACGAGGTAAATAGAGACATCGAGTATTATACAGATGACATGCAGCGAAAGCAAGCAACAAGCGGGGGTTTGAACAAAAGTTGGGCGACAGGCCGTTGGCCGCTCATGCGTCCTTGTCGAATTCAATACCCGAGTCGCTAACGTTGCTATCGATGACCACGGGGCGCGTCGACGCGAGGCCGTGTGCGTTCTTGTAGAAGATGATATTTCCCTCATCCTCGACGAACTGAGTAGTCGTCGAAGTCAGAACGCGTCGTAAAGAACAAATGCAGTCGTCACTGACCTTGCACTCCTTGAACACCCTGTACATCTCAGCCCAGCCACCTGGACGGCCCTTCAAGGGTACAAGCCCGGCCTGCCTCAGCCTGGCATGAAGAATATCGTTCGCCTCCCAACTGGACAGCCAGAGTTAGATTCGAACACCTTTTCATGCGAGCAATGGAAATCACGTACGCATGGTAGTGTGGGATCTTACTCGCGACATGGTGCGCGACGTGGGTCTCGGAGATGCCATGCGTCAGATGCGCGCCGAGCCAGCCCATGATGCTGCCGCAGTCGCCAAGCAAGTTGCGGTCGAGCGTTGTGAGGGCACCGCGAGGAAATGTGAACTCGGGGGCGCGGTAATGCGGAAGCAAGGGGTCCGTGTGTTGCAGGAAGGTGATAAGGACAAGCCAGTGATTCACCCTACAACGATTCATGGTAAGTCGTCGCGATACCAGAGCTCCGAGAATGTGACGCACCAGAGATACGGAACGAGGTAGACCCGGAAGACCTCAAGGAAGCCATAATGGTAGATAGCAGTAATGACTGCGGCGAGCCAGATCACGATGCCGAGGTCAGAGATGAGGATCTGATCGCGGTGATGGGGCGCAAACATCATAGCCGACGGATTGAAATCTGTGCACTATTTGATGAGAGGGAGCGGACGAGGAGCACGAATGATCGACTCACGATTGGTGTTAGAAGGGTAATTCTTCTGCCCTGATGCATTCATGCCAATGTACAACCACCAGCCAAAAAGCTGTTCATCGACTATGTTATACACTGCATGTGCAATACAGAAAAGATCGCTTACCAGGTAGCTGGCAGCTCCAAGGGCAGCACCAATCGGAGAGTCGCCCATCGCCTCCCAGAGCTCGCGCTGGACCTCGCCATTGACACTAGCGCCGTACAAGTCCTCCTTCGCGGCATCAAATGCGGGCAAGCCGAGCTGCGAACGGGTCTTCGGAATGAAGACCTGGTCTTGCGTCATGTGGCCAGTGGATGCATGATGCTTCGCGTGAGTGATGCGCCAAGAGTGGTAAGGGACACCGAGTCTAAATTATGAGAGGCAATACGATCACATGTCATGACGCGTCCTGCGGAGAGCGGAATGCACGCGTGCGTACCCAGAGTGCAGGACCCAGCCAATAGCATTGTTGAGGGCCTTCGACTCGGAGAATGCCTGATGACCGCATTCATGGGCAAGCACCCAGAGTCCGGTCGCGACGAGGCCGTTGGCAAAGCCGTACAGCGACCACAAGACGAAACGCGCGAAAGAGTAGAGGTACGGGCTGGGAAGGCTGATGAACTCGGGAGAGATGCGTGCATCGAGGAAGACGGCCAGCTTGTAGATGCAGAAAATCAGGAAGAAATCGTAGACGCTGCAAGCAGATCCCAGGGGTGTCATGCCTCGTCCGATGCGAAAAGACGTGTGGACTCACACATAGCTCATGGACCTGATGGCCGACCGCTTGTGACAATGGGCGCTAAGCAGGAGGGGTAACTGTAAGACCTCGGCTGGTCACGAGTGGTGAAGAATACAATACGTACGGGATGACGGAAAGCAGGTCTTTTATGGTGAGGTCGGGGATGGGAAAGGGGGTCTGCTCGACGGTGATCCTGGAATCGCAAGTATCCTTGGCCATGGCGGGCTCGATGGACGGGATGGATGGAGGCCTGCCCGTCTTTAAATAAAGGGAAAGGACAGAGGCGAAGAAAAGCGCGGCGGGGGAGGTGGTAGAGTTTTATAAGAAGGAGATCTACGAGCGGCGCTTGCCGACTCGATCTGTCCGTTGGGGCAACTTGGCGCATCTCCTGGGTGTCGCCCGCAGTGCTCGGACCACCTCCTTCGAATCTCCCCGACAAACATACTAATTAGCCCCCGTTCCAGTCCGCTCGAGGTCGCCCTCTGTCGAACGACTTCCGCTGGCACCCTCGCAATTTTTTTCCGCGCGTCGTTCACGTGCCCTGGCCAGTCTGTCCCAGTCGCTGTAGTCGTGTCTCGCTTAGTTCTCCCCCCAGTCCCTCGCTGTAATGGCATGATCGTCACTCGACGGCACGCTGATCCCTCGTTTCTCCCTATGTATCTTAATCCTCCTATCAAATGCAACAATCCCGCTACGCTATGAATTGACGCCACCTTCCGGAGCAATCTTTCTGGTAAGAGGCTTACTGGGGAAACATTGACCACCAATCGCCATGTCAGGTGTGCATTCACGCCTCTTCTACCCCCATTGAACGTGCCTGCTTACTCTAGAAACCACCTGTCTGCGGACACTTTCCCAGAAGCTGCCAAATGGATGTATTGATAAACGCCCATCGTCGACCACTAATACGCCGAAGAGCAAGGACCTTCTCTCGTTCCATAAAAACGGGACATAGTTCCAAGAAAGCGCTATGACTTGTCCTTCAGAGTCGTCAGACGTGGCTGACAAGGCCGCCCAATTCGCGCATCGGGGGCTTGCTATTTCCGTGGCTTCTCTGGGACATTGAGAACGCTCACGTCTGCTCTCGCGGATCTTCGATTTGTGTATCATGTTGGGAACTCTGCCGTGCGGATCCAGATATCTGTAGCGATCAAATGTGGATCCCAGCACTTGAAGTCTCGTTGATCTCATGCAGCAGGGCAGAACGCAACGTTCAAATAGATTGGCCATCCTTTTCTCGTACGGCTTGGTCTCCCGAGGGCAGACGAGACAATTCCTTCAATCTCCGCGGGCTCCGGATATCCTAATACGGCTCCGCGCTTGCTCTGCAATAAGCTTCAGTCGCTACTCCTACCGGCCTCATCCGATGCGGAAAATGTCTCGCCTTGGGAGCACTCGTCGGCAAATATCGCTGCATCCCTTCAGTTTGTCCTCCCCGTCCGAAAGCGCTCGATGCGTCGTGATCGACGCGATGGACTGACCCATACCGCTCGTGCACCGCCACCATTATCACGTCGCTTAAGACTGGAGACGCCGCATAGCATTGACACCTACATCGTTCTTCCACTGCACCAGAAGGCACGTCCTCAATATCAATCCTGGTGCTTGCGAACTCTGACTTCAATCTCACGCCATCCAGCACCGCCCGACATGGTCTCGACCGCTCGTCGACTCCCATGTCCCCCCAATTTTTTTTGACTAGGAAACCCTTCCCAAGTGGCAAGGTTTCTCACGAAAGATAGCTTCTCATAGCCAGACAGCTTAGGGAAGGCGCGCTACAACTCGATCCACTTGCTTGCTGCTTGCTATGTGCCGAGCCTCGCGTTGTGCATCTCGACGACTATTAAGCGAACATCGTGTCTGCGGCGGACCCATTGGGGAAGTTCGGATACAGCGGGGCGTGCTTCCCGGCCGATCTACACGTCAGGAATGCTGCTCCTGTGCTGCACATCGCCAATCGCCACGCAACCGGGAAATCTGATAAAAGCTTTTGTGGTGCTGCTCGTATCTAAGAAGCTCTCCGCTTACTTATGCAAAGTGCGAGGGCACAAATGTGCGCGGAACGAGGCTCGCTTGTGGTCGCCCTCAACGTTTTGGTCGCTGTTCTCCCCCAACCAGTCAGTGAAGATGCCCCTGCAACACACGCCATCTCGTACAATGCTGGTGCATTCACATGCTGCGCAGTCGATAGGTCTTGCTGCAGCTCCCTCAGGTCTCGCGCTCGCTGGCGTCCCTTGAAAATCTCAGTCACGCACAATTGCCACGATCGTCGTGCTTCAACTAATCGAGAGAAGATGAGCCTGATACGTAATAGGATCCAATCAAATTCATGCGAATTTGATTGGTTGCTTGGCGGATTCTTTTATCTCGCGGAGGTGCGCTAACAGTGCTTTTGAAAAACATCCTCCGAGACAGTCTCCCTAAACGCATTGTCTCAGGCCTTGTCTCCCACATTAAAATTCGAGGGCAAGCATGACTTGCTGCAATGACAGGGTCAGACATTGTAATGAGCAAGTTCGACCATCCCATCTCTGTCTTAGTGTCTTCCTTGTCGGTCTTGTTGCGCCTTATCAGCATTCTATGCCAGAACGACGTGCTGACGTCTGATTTATCATCATCGCATTTAGTGGGGGATCGTGATCTATTTTGTTTCACCCGTCCTTGCACCTTCTGACACCACGAGGAACCAAACACAAACAGCCGACGGAGCGAGGCGGCTTGGGGAGTTTTGTGACACAGTTGCCCAAGAGGAGCGACTTAGGGAGCGGTCTTGTTGTGTGGACAATAATCGCCAAGCTGATGCAACATGCTACACAACAAATAATAAAACAGGCATCCTGAAGGACATGTGCTACACACAACCCTGAACTCTAGATTCTGCCCGAGATTCAATGGATGATCAGATCGATGCCAGTAGTGTCCGAAAGGTCCACAATGAGAGAGCTAAGCCATCGTCTTCAGCTTGGTGGCGAGCCCGTCCAGGAAGCCAAATGCGTCTTTCGTCACTGTCCGCCCGTTGCTCTTATCGATGACAGTGCTGAATTCCTCCACCATCTGCGCGAGCTCTTTACTGCTCCCTGCCTTCGCCACGTTCCGCCGCAGGGAGACCAGCTTGGTTATCTTCATATGGGCAGGTTGCGGCATGCCCTCGTCGCCATTTTGCCGGCGCGACGCGCGCGTGGGCTGCACGCGCGTGGAAGGGTCTACTAGCTGCTTGTGTAGCGCATCCAGGACCGCGAAGGCTTCCCTCGTGAGTGTCCGGGAGTGCGTCTCGTGGAGGATCCCGACGAGTTCCTGCACGACGCGCGCGAGTGCGGCGTTGTTGGTCGCGTCTGGCACGGTATGCGCCAGCTTTCTCAGCTGGATCGCCTTCGGCCATCGCACTGCAGCGGGTGCTCCGTGGGGATCATTCTCATCGTCGCTACTGATGACGATCACTTCCACAGGCTTCTTGGCATTTCCCTTGTCCTGATGCACGACGTTCACAATCGCATTGCGCTCCACGAGGACACGCCGACACTCGTCGTTCAGATTGAGCTTGGCCAGCTCGCGGAGCATGCCCTCGATTACGTCGTTAACTGGCACCGGTCGTTTTGGCTGCAACGCTACTGGCACCGCAGGCTATGTCAAGTCAGTGCGAGTGTCCTGATGAGCCATGTTCGTGAACGGACCTTAGGGTTCTTCGGAGGCCAAACAAAGGATGAGCTGCGTCCATAGCCTCTGTCAGATGCCAACTGCCTGAATCGATCTATCCACATCGCGTAGTCGGGGCGCTCTGCGAATTTCAGCCGCCTGCAATACCGAAGAAAGTCCTCAAATTCATCTGGTAGGCCATGGCAGAGGGTCTCCGGGCGCGCGTTCCGCTTCTCCTGCATAAGACGCTCGTGTGCGGCATCTGTCTTGGGGACGCCGTTCCGTGTCCAGCTAAGCCCGCCTGGGGTGAGTAGATGAATGAGCATGAGTGCGACAGCTTCTAGGTCGTCTCGCCGTGATGGCACTACGGGCGCATGATAAGGCGTCAGCTAATATAGTTCGTGTACTTCCGAGGCATCGGAGCGACTGGGCCACGCACCTTTGCCTCTGCAGTGTACTTTGACCGAAGTGAACCAGTAATTTCCGATGAAGTCGCGTTTTGCCTTGCTTTCGGGTATGTGGCAACGTGTAGCCCGGTCAATGTAGAATTTGGAAAAGCCAAAGTCTATCATGTAAATGATGTGGTCGTTTGGAGGGAGCCCGACGACGCAGTTTCCGAGTTGGATGTCTCGGTGCAGCAGGCCACATTTATGCATGTACTCCAGTCTGGCTATCTGTTGAAACGTGGAGCCAGATCGGGAAGCAGGATGTGTACAGCGTTTGACAGCATCCTCATGGAAGAGCAATAAGAACACTGACCACTTGCATTGCTATAGCGCAGACGCTATGCAGCTCCATGACACCTTTTCCACTTCGGCGGAGAAGTGCATCCAGGCTTGAGCCAAGAAGCTCGATGGCCAAATAGTCATATGCGCCCTCTTCGCCACAACCGAAATAGGACGGCATGCCTAAACCACCCTGCAGCGCAGGATAGAATGAGCGCTCAAACAGGTTGGTCCGGCAATCTGCGTCTCTTAGCTGGAGTTTGATCGCAGCCTGTTGGTTTGTATGAACATTTATTCCTCGAAAGATTGAGCCTAATCGAACAGACAAGGTTGGAAGAGCGTGAGAAAAGGATGGCGCGTCTGTCGCGAGCTGAAGGAAGGTGCACCTGAGTAACCAGATCCCAGATTCTCCGCTAGCCACCAACTTCCAATCTTCTGCGGGTAGGGATTATTTTGCATGTGGACCAAAGACCGTGCAAGATATAGTGACCAGAAAAGCAATAGGCCGTCGCAGTCTTTCCGTTCAAGTAGATGAGGCGTATGGTGCAAGGCACTCAGCACATGGACTTGCAGGGGCACAAATGACAGCAACGCGTGGCGCGTAGGACAAGTCCGTTGACCGTGCGGCGAACATACCAACCGTGATGGAGCACGCGCTACACGGTCACGTGAGGGTCGCGCACCTGCGTTCTATCCACGAAAGGCATGTCCCATCAATTCCACCTTGCTCCTCGACCCTCACAGCAACTGCTGTCAAAATTATCAAGAGCACTTCTTGCATTTCTTCTGAACACATTGTTGAATTCCAGACTCGCATAAAATGGCCAAATGCGGCTAGCGCGACGAGGACAAATGGGCACAAATACCAGGCCTATTGAGGCAAGTCCTCACCTGCCGCATGCTCGTCTGGCTTCGTCAGGTACATGCAATGCTGCCGTCTGCGCATCGTCGCGCGAATGCGTCCATAGTCACGGTACCATACGGTCGCTTGCGTTCTCAATATGATCTGTCCGCCGTACATTCATGATCGCCCTTATTGACTGGACTTTTAGCCTCAGCATGGCCCGGCAAAACCGGCATCGTGCATTGCGATGCTCCGCGGGACATGTCTCCCTCTTTGGGCGTCGCAAATTTTGCCACAACATGATATGAAGTTTGCTCCGGTCCTCTACTGCAGGTCCCTCGGCATCATTCTTTGGCCGGGAAGTTTGTCGCAGCTTGTCGTCTCGGTGAGCATGCCAAACATGACCCAGTCTGCATATCGAATGGTCGAGTGGGGACCCGGAAAGACGTCGACAGAGTGAGAGACTTCAGACTACCGAGCATCAGCACAACGAGGGCCAGTCACCGGATCGGAAGTTACGATCAATTCCAGGCCCATGGTACACGGGCGCAATCCCCACGCTCCTGCGCTTGCAATGTGCTGCACGTTGTACCCACTTCCTTCTCGAGCGGCTTCACCAGCGATACACCGCCATAGGACCTATCTCGACGCCCTCATCTTGAGGTTGTGGTCATCGCTCTTTCGCCGCACTCCCTTAGTCTGACGATATGGCTGATATCGCTTTTGCGGTCACAGTTGCACTACCTTGAATGAGAAATGATGACGACCAAAGAGAGGCATCGATTTGCTGTTCCGCTGCGTTCTCATTCGATCACGGCCTGATGTAGATGTCCCTTTCGGGCTCCTACGTTCCGTTGTCAAGCAGAAACTCCGGCAGGACAACCCTCGACTGGCATTGTTATGGCACGTCTGCTTTCTGCCCACGCGTTCATTATGCCGGCCTCGGAACAGTATAAAGTGTCTCGCGTACCTCGCGATGCACTATTCCTGTCTCCCGCTGGCAGCTCGTCCTCTCCTTCCCCGCCTGTCCTTAAGGCCTATTTAATACCCTGAGATGTTATTCCACGCGATAACGTCGTGCTTTGCATTTCTCTCGCCCATTGCCGCGCAGCAGATCTACGATGTCGTACGTCTGCTTCCTCTGCACGCTGCTTTATGACATAGCTTACATAGCCGACATATTGCCATACAACAGTGGTCCACTACCTGGGACAGAAGTGACTTGTTCACTTATACCAACCTGTATCCCAACCCGATCGACTTCACTACTCCTGGTGCCACTGGTTCAGCGGATATTGTGGTGACGGACACCACGCTGTACCAGAGTATGATTGGCTTTGGGGCTTCTTTGAGTACGCCTGCTAGTACCGCATCGGAAAACGCATGTCTGACATGAAATGTGCATTCTCATAGCCGATTCATCTGCGCAGCTCTTGAGTGAGCTCAAGGTGCATTATTCATTCCCGCTGGTTTCACGTGCATTCAGACTGATCTCGAATTAGAGTAGCGACTCGGACACGTACTGGGATATCATCAACTACCTCTTCGATCGTGCGCGTCTATTCTCGATCAGGTTCTGTATATGCCTAACAGAACTCCCTGATAGCTACCGATGGCGCAGATGCCGCAGGCTTCTCCTACATCCGTGTCCCCCTTGGTGCTTCCGACTTTTCCGCCAGTGGTGCGTGCGGATCATTCCGACCCTAAGATGTTTGGGGAATTGCTGAAACGTTCTTTAGTCTACAGCTTTGATGATACTGATGGTGACACTTCACTTAGCGACTTCAACATCAACGCCGCTCCTTCCTATTTGTATGATGTCCTCCAGGATATCGCCGGCGTCAACAGTTACCTCAAGATTCACATCTTGCCCTGGTCGCCGGTAAGGGCAGCCTGCAATCATTGTGTTCAATATGCTGACAATGTTTGCATTCTAGCCGGGATGGATGAAGGACAGCGGTACCATGCTGGGCGGTTCGTTCCAGTCCGAATACACTGATACCTGTGCGCCTGGAGCTCGTTTCTATCAATATTTCCTCTGATGAGGTTTTGATGCAGATGCCAGCTATCTGCTGAAATGCTTGCAGGCTTACTCAGACATGGGCTTCTCGGTTTACGCGATTGGAGTCCAGGCGAGCAGATTGTCGTACTGTGATGAGATGTCGATTGCTAAAGTTGCTTATTGCAGAACGAGCCCCAGAACAGCGACTCGACGTATCCAACGTGCTTGATCTCTGCATCGCAGGAAGCGGCCATCGGTCTGCAGCTCCGTTCCCTCATGGACTCCAACGGCTTTTCGGATACCATCATCATTGGCTACGAGCACAACTGGAATGATGCTGCTGACTACCCTGTCACACTCGTGCGTTCATCTCGGCAGTTGGGTTAAATCCTCCAGAGCTAATGTGATATCATGGATGTTACAGATGCAAGATGCGGCGAGCGCATTTGCGGGAGTCTCCTTTCACTGCTACGCCGGCAGCGTGAGCGACCAGGAGGAGTTCTACGATGCCTATCCAGACAAGGACATCTTCTTCACTGAGTGCACCGGCGAGTTCGGCAGTGATTGGTGGAGCGATATCAAGGTCAGTGATGCACTGCCTCCTGCCGTCTACAATCACTAATACGTCAAACGCAGTGGTACATGGATAATATGCAAGTCTGCCGCTGATCCGTCATCTCTGATCGCGGATTGCTGATATTTTATCGCGCACAGCTTTATCGGTTCTCCGAACTACTGGTCGAAGAACGGCGCCATGTGGAATCTTGCTCTCGATGGAAACGGCCAGCCAACGCTCCCCGGTACCGATAGCTGTGGCACGCCTTGCCGGCCCATCGTGACCGTCAATAGCAATGGCACGTATAATTACAACCAGGAGTGTGCGTTGTCAATCTGAACCTATCGTCGTTCTTGATACTGATATTAATAATCTCTGCGTGATAGTCTATGCTATTGCCCAGGCGTCGAAAGCAATCCTACCCAAGGACACAGACGGGCCGTTCGGCCAACGAGTCGAGGTTGCAGTCAACGGCGATCTCGACTGGGGACTGATTGTGGCTGCATACGTGACCAACCGCACCGATTCTACAGATTGGCTGCGCTACAGTCTGGTCGTCCTGAACTGGTGAGTGCATTTCATGACGTTCAGCAACGTCATCCGAAGTTCATGCGTGCTGGTTGTGCCAAGGGATGATCAACCGAGTGGATCCTGGGACCCTACTAATATCACCGCTACGATCGAATTCCGTGGTCAACAGGTATGTAAACGGAGCCATCCTGACCGAGACTCATTCTCAACGATGTCGATCTACCAGGCGACCTACACCTTCCCCGTCGGTGTAACCACCCTCTGGTGGTACGGTGCACCGCTCTGAACGATTCACAACGTCATCGCGATAATCGGCTCTATGAAGACCAGAGTCTCGCACCACGATTTTTCAACAAAGCATCACGCTCGTTCTCGCACACATTCGATTATTATTAAAGGGATCAAGCCACTTCCTGCGCCCTGCGGTCTTCGCATAACATGGACGTCGCAGGCCGGGTCGCGTCTTGTTCCATGCCATTCCTTCGTCCAACAGGACGCTTGTGCACGCAATCTCTCTCTCAGGGTTTTAGGCTAACCATATGGTTCTTCATGTGTGGAGGACTCGTTCTCTTGTTGATCAAGAGTATGCACGACTAACCGAGATCTCGCTGTAGTAGTGATTGTACTGCAGATAATCTACATGTATAAGTTCAAGGCTCACATGGCTTCAAAGCTGCCTGCCGCGACCGTGCGCCTTAGGAACAAGCCTCCGTTCATGGGGCCATAAGTCAATGAAAGTTACGTAGATTCGTGAGATACAGTACCATCAGGATACGACAATACAAACAAAGACTCAGAACAAGAATGTAGTACACAAGCGGCGACGAAGTGTAGAATACATGACAGACAGAATGCAGGGAACCACCGATGGAAAGCATACGTACAGTACCGAAACTCACGCGGAACACATCAGACATGCCTCCTTGTTCTCCAAGGAACACATCAACTTCTCCTCCTCGAGTTGTCGCTCGCGCTGGCGTTGCAGAGCAGCAGCGAACTCAGGATCCTGCTCCGCGGCCTTCTGTGTCCTCTCATCGAGAGATAAACCCGCCGCCCTTTCAGGTAGGGAGTCCGCTTCATCCGTCAGGGACGTAGAGGAACTTGTCATCGCAGGAGAGGATTGGGTGGAATGGTTGGACGCAGAGAGTCTGTTCAGATTGGGAGTGATGGGCTCCTGCTTAATCGACACATGGCCAGGCGACGCGTATCCATCGCCGTTCGACATGGGAACTCGCTTCGGCGTCACAGAGGCTGCCGTCTTCACTTCTTTCGTCTCCTTCAGCATAGACTGGTCGACAGTGAACTGGATCGCTTGAGCAGCAGGACGCGTCCGGAGGTAGTACATGCCCGTCTTCAATCCCTTCTTCCATCCATAGAAGTGCATACTAGTGAGCTGAGGGATCGTGGGCGATTGGAGGTGGATGTTCAGACTCTGGCTCTGGTCGATGAATGCGCCACGGTCAGCAGCCATGTCCAACACCTTCTTCTGGCTGATTTCCCAGACAGTCTTGTAGATAGCTTTGACGTCGTCAGGGATTCCGGGGATGTTCTGAACGGAGCCATTGTTGGCAATGATCATATTCTTCATCCTATCATCCCAAAGCTTGAGATCGACAAGTTCTCGCAGCAGCCATGGACAAACGACCTGGAACTCGCCAGCGAGCACACGACGAGTGTAGATATTACTAGGCAAACGTGAGTCAAAGTCTATATTTATCACTGAAGCGGCATACCTAGTGTAAGGCTCGAAGCACTCATTATTGCCTAGAATCTGACTAGTCGAGGCAGTGGGCATCGGAGCAACGAGCAATGAATTCCGCAAGCCCGTTCGCGTGATCTTCGCCTTCAGGCTTTCCCAGTCCCAAAGATCTGTCGGAGTAACGCCCCAGAGATCGTATTGGAGCTGTCCCTGAGAAGTAGGGCTTCCCTCGTAGGTCTCATAGGGACCCTCTGCCGCAGCCAACTCACTACTTGCCTCGAGCGCAGCGTGGTAGATTGTCTCAAAGATTTGCTTGTTGAGCTCACGCGCCTCGAGCGAGTCGAACGGCATGCGCAGCGCCATGAAGGTATCCGCGAGCCCTTGCACCCCAAGACCGATGGGGCGGTGGCGCATGTTCGATCGACGAGCTTCAGGGATAGGGTAGTAGTTGACGTCGATAATTCGGTTGAGGTTACGAGTGACGACCTTCGCGACCTTGTGGAGCTTATTGAAGTTGTACCGCCCATTCTCAACGAAGGAAGGAAGAGCGAGGGAGGCTAGGTTGCACACGGCAGTCTCATCAGGCGCAGAGTATTCGAGAATTTCCGTGCATAGATTGGAGGATTTGATTGTACCGAGATGCCTCTGGTTCGACTTGGCTTAAGAAAACTATCAATGACAACGTCCCCGGTTTGTTCAACGGGTCGGCTTACCATTGCATGCATCCTTGTACAACATGAAGGGGTTACCAGTCTCAATTTGGGCATCAAGGATGGCAAACCACAGCTTGTGAGCATCGATGGTTCTGCGAGCGCGCCCTTCGCGTTCGTACTGCTCATACAACCTCTCGAATTCCTCACCCCAAACCTCGTGCAATCCAGGTGCTTCGTTCGGGCAGAACAGCGACCACTGGCCCTGGGACTCAACTCGTTTCATGCTAACGAGTAGGGACTTACATCAGTGTCACGATGAAGACATAGCAACAGCGAACCCACAAAAGGTCAGGAATCCACAGCGCATAGAAGAGATCACGCGCACGGACTTCCTCCTTGCCGTGGTTCTTGCGCAGGTCGAGGAAGTCAAAAATGTCGTCGTGCCACGGCTCTAAATAGATCGCAAACGCTCCAGGTCGCTTGTTCCCTCCCTGATCGACGTATCGAGCGGTCGCGTCATATGCCCGAAGCATGGGGACAATGCCATTCGAGTAGCCATTTGTTCCAGCAATGTACGATCTGAAGTGATTTTTTAGATCGGGCGTTCATACGACAGACAATATCGGAACTTACCCAGTAGCTCGAATGTTGTGGATGCTCAGGCCGATCCCACCAGCAGTCTTGCTGATCATAGCGCAGTTCTTGAGCGTGTCATAGATGCCCTCAATGGAGTCATCCTTCATGCAGACGAGGAAGCATGAGCTGAGTTGCTGGTTAGGGGTACCAGCATTGAAGAGAGTTGGCGAGGCATGTGTGAAGAGTCGCTCCGACATCATGGTGTATGTCTCAATAGCGCGCTCAATATCGGATTCGTGGATACCAACAGCGACACGCATAAGCATATGCTGAGGCCGCTCAACTACCCGGCCGTTGAGCTTGAGGAGGTACGAGCGCTCAAGCGTCTTGAAGCCGAAGCTGGGCCAAACGAGTGAGACCCGAGCAGCTATTGTAAAGATCTTGAACGTACTAGTTGTAGTTGAAGTCCCGGTCGTAGATAATCGCAGAGTCAAGCTGCTCGGCATTTGCCATGACGATCTCAAATGTCTCCTTCGAAATCATACCAGCTGCTCGGCCGTTCTTGGGATTTACTGAACGCAGATTTAGTATAGAGATTACTGAGATCTTGTGCTTCCCATTCACCGAAATGGTAAAGATCATTGACGACTGCCGAGAAGTTCTTCTTGGTTTCTTTATGTAGGTTAGAGACGGCGATGCGCGCAGCAAGAATAGCATAGTCAGGGTGTTTTGTCGTAAGGTATGCAGCAGTCTCCGCCGCCAGGTTCTGGAGAAGATATGTATGACGACGGAAGTACTATTGTGCAAAGCTCAAGACTCACATCAAGTTCTACCGTTGTCACACCCTGATACACACCAGCAATGACCTTCTGCGCGATACTATTTGTAACAATAAATCAGACGGCACCCGTTATGACCAAAATATGCTTCAAACCAACCCAATGGGATCAACATGTTCCTTGTCAAGGCCATAGCATAGCTTGGTGATTCGAGCAGTGATCTGCAAGCAATGTGAGGAAGCAAACGCGTGTTAAAGACAAGCCTGACGCGTGCCTTGTCAAATTGGACGCGTTCTTTGCGCCTGTAATGAGCGACGATATCAACAAACGCGTTCTACGCGCATGAAAACACGTTATTGTTGTCACATACCCATCTGTGAGGGAATGTCAGACACGACGACAGCGACAAGGCGATTGCTACATACCGCGTTTGAAGACATAGGCCATCTCTGTTGCTGTCCTAGAGTGCGATAGTAAAAAAAGAGGAGGCGGCAGGAAATGTGTCGCGAGAAAAAGAGGATGTGTGGTGGTAGGAGGGCAAGGAAGGGAGGACGCGACGCGACAATTTAAATTGAACGCGTATGACTAAGCAATCCTTATAAGGCATGTCTGAATGTTATATCTTAAATCATCGCGTCGCGACGCGTTATTTGTGTGCATTTGGATGTGTCCAGGACCTCGGCCACCGGTACACAATTCATCGATTTATCCTTTGCGGCTGGCCACAATCAAAGGGATTCACACGATGCCGCCACCAGCGGTCTTTGTTGCCAGTGTTCAATACGCTCCGCCTGTGCTGCGCGCATCCTCGCCAACAAGCTCGATTGGGACGGAGTATGGTGCCGACGAAACATCACTTTCCGATAGTGAGCTAGGCCAAGCTCAATTCGAGAGGAAATGCGAAGAACGCTTGCACTTATGTGAGCCACGGAGAGAGGAGCTCTCCGATCCCAAAGACATTCTCTTACGACGTCGTCCGCAGACTGTGGAAGAGGAGAAGGGTTGGTCTGTCTCACCTGTATAATGGTCCTCCGGATTTATGGCTTTCTGTAGAGATATTCGATCGCGTCATGCAAAACCTTCGGCAGCTCGTGAAGCAACTCGAAGACGATGAGCTGTTTGAGGAAATCTTACTTCGCGGCACTCAAGTCGGTGAAGAACAACAGCCATCTTCGGATGATATTGATTCAATCATGCGCGGTCTTATGGAGACCTCAGTTGGCCCCCTCCCTCGTGCTCAATTTCACTCGGCTGGTACTTCTTGGCTTTCCAACATGTCGCAAGGCCTGCAGACGGCCAGTGGTAGCGCTGATACCAGTGCGACTACCACTGCTAGACGGTCGGGCAGGCCTAGAGGAAAGGCACGGAGATCGTAGTCTTGGTACTTTGCCGCTAGGAGTTTTTCTTCGTGCATTTTCTAAAAACGTATGTAGCATATGTCTATTCAGATCAACATTGCTTATATTGCCCTACAGGCTTTGCATCACCATCCCACTATGCCGTGGACTGCATTTCCGATAAGGCTCCGTATTGATGACTTAGAGGATTATTTCAGCTAAGTTCCGCCTTGAATGTGTTCTATTATTCTCGCTTCTTCTTCTGTAGTCATTTGTAAGATGTATGAAATGTCTCCATGAATAGCATCAGTACGTACCGCCAAAGTCGACTTCTCGCTCGAAGACTCGAATGCTTCTCCGAAGCGTATATGGCCAACCAACTTTGCCTTCGTCAATGCCAGTTTTATCCCAGCAAGGACTCACGCACGCAGGAATATTGTTCTTTCACGACTGATTCGTCGCAGGGGAGTAGTGCAGTGGTGAGTTACTGTATACGACTTTCCGCATCCGCGCAAACATTCAAGAGTGTGCATACGCTAGAGTCCTTCGGAAAGGGGGGGAGAGAAGGGAGAGTCTCCTCCGAGAATGCCTTTAACCGGCGCATTAGTACGCTAGCTCGTATACGGCACGCAGAGGCTGTTCTTTCATGATTAAATGCACGTGTATCTGACAGCAATCGGTCGACAGCCGACTCTACAGACGCCACAAGAAGTTGTTCGCCGTCATTAGGAACCTGTTCAGCCGATGCCTTCTCTTGCATATTCTGTCAGAAATATCACTTGCATATTCTGTCAGAAATATCACAATGGCTCCCATTGTTCTCGCTAGCTCGCCCTGATAATTGGTCCGAGTCTCTGGTGTTATAATCCCTGCTCTCTGTTGAATTGGCTAGAAACATCAAGCAAATGTTTCCACTAGCGTCATCTCGTGCAGGTTATCCCAAGAAGTCGCGTAATGTCACCCTAAACGTTGTAGACCTTGGATCCATGCCAAGAAGACTATTTCAAATGCTATCCATATTGAATGCCGGCCTCGTGTAACGCGCCACCTCATGTCGCGGATGTCGGGTGGTCTTCTGGATATAAGACGCCCTCGTTCCATCCATGTGGGGAGGATGAATGAAGGCTTGGTATGCAAATAGGCTCCCCATTCAAAATGCGCGGCCATCCACTGCAAGTTTAGACCGGGTAGGAGATTCAATTGTGCCGTCATAAATCAGGCGAGTGCTGTATAGACTTCCATACCAATGTCTCACGCACTGTCTCTTGCTTAGCAAGTAGATTTCCAATGAGACGGTAGGACAATCGAAAAAGTGCACTGATATTCATAATGCGCATGTAACTCGAATATCGTTAGTCAAGCTTCTTAATGTTGCGCTGGCGCTGATTCCATCACCTTTATCCGTCGACCTATCTACTCTTCAACTCACGATGACATGCTGTTGTTCAGGTCCGGGTCGACATCTGCCCTCAGGGCAGCTCCTTGAAGTCATTCGCCATGTTCCCCACCTTGTTGGCCGCTCGTAGACCGCATTGTTTGGCCATCATACTGAGCCCTCTACCCCACTAACAGCCTCTGCATCACGTGAGAGACTGAACGACATTGCAAGCGCCGATGAACCTGGGGACAATACACTCCGGTGGAGATGGCCTCCTGGTGAGTTTGGAGAGTTTATTGAGATGCAGTGATAAACTCACATTAATGATTAAAGCATTTTCATACGTAAAACACAGTCGACCGTCCAAATAATAAATTTATCATCGCAAACGACTGCGTCGGTCTGCGCATTGGACATGTCCTGCACGTCGTCCGCCCAGGCCCGTGGACCGTCCTATTGAATTGATAGTGAGTATGTAATGTGAGTAGTCTGGACTATCGGAAATAAGAGAGGATCGTTTCAAATTCCGGCCTGGCCGGAGATACAGATATGTGAAATAGAGCGGCCGCCTGAGGGAGCTGCTACTTGCCACCGACTCTTTCACCAGCCATGCCGTTTGGAAAGCTACCCCTCAACGATGGAAACCAGGTCCGTCCTTGAAGCTTGATTTGTCGACTCAAACTAGGCGCTAATATGAGCACCATGGCTGCTCGCGCTCTCAAATTAGATGCCTACCATTGCGTTCGGTACCGGATCCAAGTGGAAGGACCAGGTAAGCAGCAGCTCACATCTGTATGTATTCACGGCGCAGTTTAATGTGACTCTGGCACATCTAGGACGCTACTGACTGCATCTTGGAAGCGATATAAGCCGGCTTTCGCACATTGATACGGCACAATGTACGCGGACAGTGAAATAGTAGTTGTTACAAGTTGCATCCTTACTTGCTATCAACAGATTATGCTAATGAGGAAAGTGTCGCGACTGCAATTCGGCGGAGCGGCCTTGACCGCTCCAAATTATTTGTTGCTACGAAGTGGTCTGGACAAGCTGGTGTACGTGAATCGCTCGAGGCGAGTCTGTCAAAGGTCGGTGTTCATACTTATCGCAAACTGCTTAATGGCATAACAGAATGATGCTTCGAACACAGCTTGAGCTAAAGCAGATCGACTTGTATCTCATTCACAGCCCTGACATTGTCCACAATATGGCAGAGGACGGGCGGGAATTCAAGCGTGCCAAGCAGGATGATCTCGCGAAGTCAGCATTTTACCCTTCGACGGAAATAATCGGTACACAGAGCTAACGAGTAGATTCTCAGGACTATCGGCGTTAGCAATTTTAAGCTGGAGCAACTGCAGCAGCTCATGAAGATAGCCAAGATCAAGCCTGTCGCTAATCAGGTAAAATATCCAATCTAACACGTTGCATATACAATTTGCTCACATCCCGTCCACAGATCTTGTTCCATCCCTACAATTACGCTCAGAACAAGGAACCGCTCGACTACTGCGCCTCGCACGGTGTGGTCGTGGAAGCATACAGCAGCCTCACGTAAGTTCGCACAGCGTGTGGTTCTCTTTGATTCTCTTTGTCCCCCAACTATCTCATGGATACCAACTACGCAGACCCATCACGAAATACCCTGGTGGCCCCGTCGACAAGCCTGTCCAAGCTGCCGCCGATAGGTTAGGTGCCACGCCCACGCAGGTGATTCTCTCATGGGTGAGGAGCAAGCGCGTCGTGATTGTGACGTACGTCATGCTCTCGTCGAGCTGGGTGCATCTTGCATCGCCAATCTGATGGAGATAATTGTTTAGGACAAGCTCGAACCCTGAACACATGCGAGAATATCTCGCAGTCGGAGACCTCCGTGAGTCTCACCCCTTTCCCCTCTATCAAACTAATGGGTCACTCTCTGACTACGGCGGCTGACACCTTTTAACGGTCCACTAGCCCCACTGACGGAGGAAGAGATCGAGGTGGCAATCGATGCCGCTGACATGAATGGGTTCCTCTAAGATTGCCATTTTGTCGCATCGCGGCGCTCACGCCTCACTTATCAATATCAGTAACATCGCGCGTCTCGGCACTTGGACGCTTCTTTCGCACGATTTGGCTTATCCTTCCGTTGTTGTTTTTCTGATGGATCCTCAACAGAGGCTAGGTATGACCACTTGGTGCAAGCTCAATCTTTCGCAGCGAAAGTTGGTATGGTACAGAATGAGGGGTTAAACATTCTCACTGATAGATTGTAATCCCATTCTTAGAATGATATAGTTTTAAATAAACAAAGAGGGTCACGGCCGCTGCCAGTGCTCATGTCGACCTTCCCGACCTCAGTGCATGACCGAATGAGGAGTTGCTCCCAGCGGAATCATTCATAGTATGGAATGTGGATAGTCTTAATTGTAGATCGTGACAGGACCCCCGGAAATCCCCCAAGAGCTTAGATCCCCGAGAACCCCCCGAGGGGGGTCTCCGGCGCGGAATGTTTGATGCCAATACCCCAAATCCGACCCCCTGCGGCCAAAAATGTTCGATCCAAAACAGACCCCATATGGGACCATTTCGGGCTCACACAGGAGACATGGTGCCATTTTCAAGCGTGTAATATGCTTAGCAAATGATAATTAGATAGTCAGATTCTATTTCATTATTTGCACTGGTCGCAATTTGTGTAGCAAAATTAACATCTGAGACCATACATGGGATCGAGCAAAATCTTACAGGGCAAATTCAAACTTCGCAGAATG